GGCCGTTTATGGCCGGGTCGGGAAGGCCGTCAACAACAATATGCATTTGCATTGCAGTGAGCCGTGGAAAATGAAAAATTATGGCAACATTTAAAAATAATAAGCTGCAAAATTTGAACATTTCAGCAGAGTTCGGCAAACACACAACGACCACGAACAAATTCTTGGCAAAATTAAATATCTTGTAAATTTTACACATACTCCTACATATGTACATGCAAATATGCATAGGTAAATATATGTGCGAGTTTGAAAATGTTTTTATTTTTGTTGCTCTGTTTGGTTTTTCACAGCCACCATTTTATAGGTAAAGACAACTAAAAGTATAAACATATGATGTGAGGCTATTTTCACTGCACGGTAGCACACAGAAAGTGCAATGGAGTGTGCATCTAGTGAGGATGTAAGTGTGTGCGTGTGTGTGTGTGTGTGCGATTATGAAATCCAATCTTGAGTCGACTAAAAATACATGCAATTCACATTTGATAAAAATTTTCGCATCTTATGGTGGCCTGCGGTTGAAAATTGTTGGTTTTTCAGCAGCCATATTAATTGGGTCATAAATTTATGCATACGAGTATACGCGAGGGCAGGTCAAAAGGTAGGGGAAATGGAAAAGGAAAGCGGAAGGTGCAGATATATTCAAGACTTTCGAACCTCAGGTTAATTGTGGCGTTGAGCTCAGAGTGTAGGTCATCATGGTGTGATATAATTTAAAATCATTGTAGGCGATGTACTAAGACAAATGTGAAAGAAGTAAGGCGAGAGTAAGAACTTCCCATACCTGGGGATAAGACTCTTCGACCTCCCAGATCAATGCACGGTGTATCAGTTCGCAGTTGCAGTCAACATTGCAATTCTTATCCATTCTGATAACAAGGTACTTTATTACAACGTAGATAACTTCGGAATCATGATTGAGTTCCATATATCTCTAAGTAAGATAGCCAAGTAGATCAGTTTAAACCGGAGCTACACCAGAACCTTGAGAAGGACCTGCATCGCAAACAAGCTGGTCAGAGACTAGCGGACACATCCTCTTTGACCATAAAAGGAATCCATATCTCAGTCATATCTACCTTACCATTGCCAAAAACTTCTTTAAGATGTTCATATGACTGACATCCTCCTTCGGAATAGTGACCGTTTATTCCAGCTTAAGATGCAGATTTTTTACTTTTTTTTAAGCCTTACTAGCAAAATGAGTGTTTGTCAGCAAGAGGAATAACAAGTAGGAAAGACAAGTGTGGTCAAGTACCACAGCAAGACAAGCGAGATCAGTCCAGCAAGGGCGACAGAAGTGCGGAAATAGGTAGAAAACAGCTAAGTATTTAAATTAGGATAGAAAGGAAAAGTTATGTCCTTGGTCGCGTAACTAGTTGAGGAGTATTCCTGCGCTAGTCAACAGTCGACAGTCGAGCTAGAGTGTGCTCAGGTGAAGTGCCTGGCGATGTACGGTTGAAGCGAAGGCCGTCCCTGCAGCCGTTAGGAGACAAGCCAGAGTAATTGGAAAAGTAGTGTTTGTATTGTTTTCGCATAAGATAAAGAATAGAATAGGAATAAACAAGAGAAACAACAGAAATCAGCTTCTTTTTAGTGGCACTTCTCAACCTCAGTAATAATTGGCGACCAAACAAATGTATAATCCAAAGCATTGGATTTGACTTATTTCAGCATTTAATGGAAATCTGCGTTAAAACCTGTGTTAAAAAAGTGGCTGAAATAGCTTTATAGTTTTGTATATTTCTTGTTGTTCACACCTTAATGCATACACATTCAAATATTTCAGATTATTTTTAAAAATTTGTATCCATCCGTTATCTATTTAATGAAGAACCAGAAGTTGTGTGGGTTGATTGACATTATTTTTAGTTTGAGTCTTAAAAATATACTTGTAAACATAATCAAAAGATGAAAGCAAATACGTATATTTTTAAATTAGTCCACCCATCGATGGGTGATTTCAAGTTTAAGTTTAAATTGAAATAAATACTCTAAGCACACATGTGTTGGAATGCTGTCAAATGAAACCGCGGAGCATAACATTTGATTGAATTTTGGCACAATGCGAAAATGGCTTAATTTGTTTTCTTGAAAGGCAATCAAGCGCATAAATAAACAAAACACAGACTGCTAAATGTTATTTGACAATTCCTTGCACGCGGCACAAAACCTGATGAATAATGGCCAAGAGGAAAACTGTTGGGGAGCGAGCAAGCAAAGCATGGAAAATGTCGCGGCGTTTCGACCTGATGATGTCGTATGAAAAATGTTCGAGCTTGGCACATAAAACAAAAAACATGTGCATAAATAGTACAAAGCAAGAAAATGAATTATGAATTATTTGTGGTGTGCGAGTGCAGAGGAAGGAGCTGAACGAAAAGGTGTTTCTTTTTACTGACACAGAAAAATCATTTGCGGCGCGCCACAGAACGCACAATTTCAAGTGGAATTTGAAATGCTTTCGGCAATATATTTTATATATGTATGTACAAGCATAATAATGATAATAAGAAAAGACGCGCTGGCTTTTTAAGTGCGCTGAAACAAAGCCAACTAGCCAGTCAAGGCGTTGGCCCCAAGAAAAATGAATTCATGTCAAAGACAAACTATTGAATAAGACTTTTTGGCAACGAATTTGCATGTCTTTTTGTTGTTATTGTTGTTTGTCTATATGCTCAAAGATTGTTTTCATCATCGTCATACATTCTCGTCAGTTTGGATAGTTTTCAGTACACTTGTCATTACGTAATGGGTTTTTACAAAATCAATGAACTGAAAGGCATTTTGCAAAAACTATGAGAAATAATTCGAGACCCAAAGTGGCATCAAAGTGAGTAGCGTAAACAAATCATGCGAGTGACATACTTTCCTGTTTGTTGTCATAAATATTTTAGCACTAAATGTACATACAAATAATAGAGAATTTCACATTTTGAAAAGCGCTAGATTTTTCAATTTCAACATCATTTGACAGGCGCCCAAATGCAATTTGTTCTGACCGACCAGGCGGCGGGTCGGGAATTTGTTGTCTTTTTTTTGTAGCCTTTTTTGACGAGCAAGCTTAATTTGACAAAGGATAGGACATGGAAGAATTGACAGCAGCATTTCAGCAAAGTGTCCGACATATCTCAGTAAATGAAGATGTCTTCTATTTAATAAATGATTCTTAAAGCGAAAACAATGAACGAGCAGCGTGGGGTAAGGAAGCTGATTGGCGAAAAATAACTGTGGCATGCTTTTAGGCAGTACACGAAAATGCTTTTGCCAAAATTCTGCACAAATGGTTGCCTCATTACACTGCTCAAAAATTACAATTTCTGACTATCTAAAATGGGAAGAGGTCAACAGCAACTAGCATCACTCTTAAGTCAAAGTAGAATCCCAATAGAGCAGCGCAAAAATTTAACTTAAACACAACAACAATGTATGTGTTGCAGAAGTGCTGGTAAGCCATGTGGGTTAGTGTTGAGAAATTTCACACAGTGTATGGAGGGACAATCAGAAAAGTCAGTTCTTGAAACATTCGAAGATTGCTTTTGAATTCAAGCATGCCTTTTAAGCACATGAAACGTATCATTTGGAGTCATTTTTACTACCATTAGATCAATGACAGATCAAGAAAGGGTCACAGAATATTTGTATAAATATGTGAAGATATGTTTAAATACAATAATCGTGTAAAGTATTATAAAATAAATGGGGATACATAAAAATGCTGAAGAGCATGTCAAGTAAAGTAGGAATTTGTAGAAAAATCTAGGAAAAACAAGCTAATCAAGTTCCCTACTCGGATTTCGAAGTAATTGTGCAGAATCGGAATTTGTAAACGACGATTGTGTTATGGGTTTTAAAGTGTATATCCTATATACACATTTCTAGAAAACTATATGTAAAGCATAACTTTTTGAATAGATGAAGTCAATTCCTTGTCGATTCAGCATATTTTAGTTTAATTGAAAAATCTGTAACTTTAACAAGCTAGGTATTTATTTTGGCACTTTTTATTTAAAAGAATAACTTTTAATTTCATTCGCAGTTAGTTGTAGAGACAATTGAGACCGAATTAATTATAAATTCATACTTAAAATAACGTATTAAAAAGGCCAAGATTACGTAATGATTATACATTTTGTATGATTTAAAAAAAAATAATTGGATATTAATATTTAAAATCTATTTTTGTGATACCGTGACAGCAGTAGGAGAAGGAAAAATAAGAACAAGCTCGATTGACTTGTTACTTAAATACAAATTGTATTAAATTATTATTCAAGTTAACAATTAACACAAACATACACACACATATAGTACAAGAAGTGCTGACAAGCTATTTAAAGGAGCGTCATAAATACGTAATTTTTTAAAAAGGAATTTATGAACAATTTATACCCGAAGAAGATGGACGACTAATTTGCAGCTTAAGTCGACAATCAAAATAGGCCCCCGAAAAATTGCCATAAGATTAATGTGTGCCCATCATTTGTGTGTTTATTTAAAGATATATATGTCAAACGATGACATCATGCAAATTGAAGCAGCAGCCAAATGCAAATTGGGCCACAAATACTCGCACCACGCAGATACATGCTATGATTATATATATCCTACTTATATATAGAGACCAGAGAGTACGTTGTCGGTTTTGCTGCTATTTTGCCAAATGTCAGTGCACTTGGTGCTGAATGCAAAAACTAAAGCACAGGGGCGCCCATTGGATGACATCGTTTGTACACAAGAACGGAATGATCTCAATGCTAGAGTATTTTTACGGTCATGTTTGGCACAGACACATATGGATTCGCTCAGATCGCAAGCGACGGCATATAAATATACATGAATGTATCCTGATGATTCCAATACCTAATGTATATAGTATCAATAAAAACAACGCCGCATGAATTGAACGGCTGAGTGGCAAAGTGTTTAAAGATTGATAGATATTCAAATATTTATTTTCAGCAGTTAGAAATCAATGGATGAATAAATAAACTAAAAGCTAAATTGAAGATAATATGTATTTTCAAACTCATATGATACAGGAAAAAAAAAATGAAAAAACTTTCTGTTCATTCAGAAAATCGTTCGTCTGTTCGTTACGTTAGTATTTTACACGGTTTCTTTGTCTTCTTTTAAATGGATCGGCATGTGGCGTATACCTTCAGTGCATTGTGTGTGCATTTGTCTTTTGGCGGACTGGGTGACTGGGTGGTGGTTCTTTGCGTGCATTTTGCTGGATTGGGGCTTTATGTCTATAAGAAAAAAAGGAAGTGAAATATATAGTTTAATTAGAAGACGAAGAAGCGAGAAAGTGAGCGATTGTGCGAAACCCGTAAAGCGCAGCTTAGAAAAGCGGATAGAAGTTAGCATCTTTGAGTATGTCGAAGGTGTCCACGACGGAGCGAGCAGGCACAACAGAGTTGCTATTGCTGTTGTTGGGGATGGCTGGCAACTCTACGGCTGTGGTGGACTCCACAGATGATGAAGGCGTAATACAGACACTTTGGCCCGTGCTTATAGCGGACAGTATATTCTGCTGTGTAGATGAGGGTGTCAGGTGTGTGGAAGCGGATATGGACACTGGAGCTATTGCGGCAAGGGCTGCAGCCAGAGCCTCATCAATTTGTTCGGGCTCTGCCACTGGATTCTCCTCCTTGACCTTCTTCCGTTTTTTGGTTTTCTTCTTTTGGACTGGTTCCTCGGTTGCCTCCAACTCCGCTATACCTTCAAGGGTATCGCCCATAAAGCCAATGCTGCTGCGCGGTGAAAACAAACCATTGTTTGTTGCTTCCTCATTGGTCAGACTGCTCTTGGAGCTGCGACGAGAGCGGGACTTGCGCTTGGGTGGCGTCTCTGTTGTGTTCACTTCTGCATTATCATCATGAAGATTCCTGTAGAGCTGTGTGTCTGAGTCGTTGTCATCATTCTGTAACTGCTCCTCCGTTTTGGAGCCTTTACGTGTCTTCTTCTTGCTCTTCTTTTTCTTTGGCTTTTCATTGGAGGGTTCTTCTGTATTTGGTGGGGCTGGTTCGTACTCCTGTTCCAATAACACCACATTTTCCATTTCCGGCATAGTTTCCTCAGGCACGCCCGACAAAATTTCACGCACTGGACTGCGACTAAAGAGTGTTATACTTTCGCCCCCCAAACTGAAACGTCGCATATCATTATCTAGTTCTTCATTATCATAACGCACAGTTTCTGGTTCCGGTTCTTGTCCCGGCTCCAACTCCACCTGCGCCTCCTCTTCTGCCTGGGCTACCCCTTCTGTTCCTTCGTTTGCTACTTCATTATTCTCGCTCTCGTTCGGTTCACCATCATCTAGCTTAAAGTTTTTGCGCCAATTGTATTCTTTCTTTGGCTTGTAGTTCATGTCCACCTCAATATCATCCATTAGATTTCCCACCTGCAACTGGGGGCTGTAACCGTATCGTGTGCGCAAGCGCGTTGACTGACGGGCGACCACATGCGCATCCCCCAAATACCGCATTTCCGAGTCCTTTCGTTCGCTCTCTAATAAACCAAGTGATACATCGGCTTGTCTGTTACTGCCCGGTTGCTCCAGTGCTCTGGTCTTGGCCCACAGAGCATAGCGATCGTTCTCCGAGCTGGACTTCTCCTTGTCCGACTCGCCATTTTCTGTAGGCAGCTGCTCTTCCACCATAGTCTCGTAATCTCTCAATATACCCGACTGTTTGCGATTCTTGATTGCTTCATTGTAGATTTGCTCAATGAATGAGTCGGGGTCCGAATAGGGTGTCACTCCTCCGACTGCACCATCGTCTAGACTATAGTCTAGAAAGTCCTCAAAGTCATCCATATCCTCCCAATCGTTGGCACCACGATTCTCGTAGCGATCAGCATTACGCTCTGCTTCCTCGCACTCAGATGTGTCATGATGAGATTCATCTGTCGGTCCTCCGCCTCGTGAATTGTAATCCGATATACCCTCATCGAATTCGTCCTCAATTTCAACCACCGTTTGGCGTTCATCTTCACTATCATTACTGGTAGCGTCATCAAGAATATCATATTCAGCGACAATATCAAAATTGTAGATTGCATTGGTGGCATCAAAATCCGCTTCCGCTGCTTCGACGGCCATGACATCACGCGCCCATGCACCCTCTCCTTCTAGGCTTTCGACGCTTTGTACAGTTTCTATTGATTTTTCCTGACCATTGGATTTCTGCATGTGACCAGTGACGTCACTTAAGCTCACTTCAAAGCTTTCCCCATCATCACTATAGAAATCCTCTTTCAACCATGTACGGGTGCCCGTTAAGGTGCGCACCTCGATTTGAGATACATAAACGTAATCGTCGTTGGGATATTCCTCTACTGGTTGCTCCTGCGCTAGAGAGTAGCGTCGAAAGTGATGATATTCCTCTGGATCCAGATCAGCATAGGGATCATTTTGAATCAATGCCGAGTCCGAAGCGCGTCGCTCACTGTCTAAGAAATCGGCATTCAAGTGGCGCGAGAAGTTTTGAAAATTGACACTGGAGGCGGCCAATTTATCGAGAAGCTGATCCTGCAGGTCGCGTTTGGCTATTTCGGCATCAATGGCTTTTAAGTCTTCCAATTGTTCTTCACGTAGTGGAGAGCGGCTTTGACTACGCGATCTTTGAAATTCTGCACTACGTTGATGCTCTTCTCTTATGGGTTGTGGATCTTTGAGCTCCTCCGAGAATGTTCGGCCGTATTCGTTTGTCTTGGGCTTTGCGCCTAGACGATCTTCGATGCTGGTCTGTCCACCGCTAGCCGTCATCAGCGAGTCTAAGATGGCTGTCTGCAGTTCCCGATGGCTTGCCGCATGCTCCTGAGATTCTTCTAAATCCAATTTGTCTAACGGTGGTGAGCAACTGCGCGAATGCAAAAACTCTTCGCTAAAGTCTATTGACTCACCTACATAGGTTGAACGTTTGAAGCCTTTCGGCTTTAGCTTCTTCCTGAGATCCCTGGCTACATCAGAGACGGTGCGCTCATATTCAGGCAATGATTTGCCTTCATTTGCCACATGCTCCTGGGATTCTTCTAAATCCAACTTGTCTAGCAATGGTGAGCAGCTGCGCGAATGTGAAAACTCTTCGCTAAAGTCTAGCGACTCACCTACATAGGTTGATCGCTTGAAGCCTTTTGGCCTTAGCTTTCTCCTGAGATCCCTGGCTACATCAGAGACCGTACGTTTGTACTCAGGCAATGATTGGGCTACCTCGTGGCGTTCTTCCTCGCTGGGACTGAGCACGCGCAATTCTACTTCCTCATTGGCATTTGTCAACTGCTGCAGTGCTTCAAGATCCAGCTCTCGCTGTCTAGCCGCCAAAACTGTTTCTAATTCCTCACTGTTTTTGCTTAGTGTGCGATTAGCAGATCCTTCAAGATTGAGCATCAGATGGAAGTCTTCTGTATCGCGATTCATATTATCTGGGGATTTGGAACCAGACCGCGAGCGAGAAGGTGATAGGGATCGCATATCTCGTTCACTCTCATGATCTTGCTCCTGCTCAGCCTCCAAAAACTCGTACACATATTCCACAGTTAAGCGTGGAGGGTCTGGCGATCTGGCGCGTTCCAATAGCTGTTCAAATATTGCTTCATTTTGCTCTATCAAATCCTGGCGACATTGTTCCAAGCTGTGTTCTAGAGCGTCAGAATTGGGCAGCGGCGTTTTGGAACGAGACCGCGAGCGGTTAAGGCGCAATTGTTCGAATAAGCTTGTCACGTTCTCGGATGAGTATATTTGGGCTCCTGCCTCCTCTTCTTCCTGAGCAGGCGCCTCAACCATTTCGATAGAGATAATAGGCGGTTGTATATTACTAGCAGTTGGTTCGGGTGTCTGCGCTCTTTTTTGTTCTTGCAGCTGTTCAAATATTTCATCGTTATGTTGAATTCGTTTCAGACGTCGTGTTTCCAGGCTCTGTTCGATGTTATCAGCAGTAGGTAGTGGGGAACGGGAACGTGAGGGGGAACGAGAGCGGGATCTGGAACGGACACTACGTGACCTTTCTACAAACAGATACTGATGCTCTGGACTGCTACGTTCCATTATCTCTTCGTTTTGAGCGCTTTCAATAATCTCATTAATTTCCACTACAGGCAATGGCAAGGAGGTAGCTATGTCGTCACTATGATTTTCCATATTAGGGTCAGTACTATCTATTGGGCTACTGCAACCACTGGATATTCTTTCAAAAAGCTCGTCATTTTGTTTAATAAGTCTTTCACGACGAGTGCTTATGCTTCTCTCTAGGTTTTCTGTTGTTGGCAAAGGTGATCGTGAGCGTGATCGAGATCTTGAACTGCGCACGCCCACATCTTTTGGAGTTTGCAAAAGGGAGTGAGCCGTGTTTGCTTCATCCGAGGTCTCATATACCATGGGAAGAATTTGGTTTTTTGTCGTCTTATCAGCATCATCGGCTACATTCTGCAGTGGCAGCTCCTCAACGCTATTACCGTTCATGGTAGCTTCCAGTAGCTGCAGCACCAGTTCGCAGTTCAACTCGCCCGGCACTATATTATCGGTGTCATCGTAAGCCTCTAATGTGCGCTCATTGTCTACATCCATGCGATTGGCCACATTTTTTGGCTGTGGCGAAGGATTACGAGAGTTTGAACGCGATCTCGAGGGATTGGTCGATGCTGTAAAGTCGTAGAAATCGCTGAGTCCCTCCATAAGAAGTCCATACTGATCCCGCCAAGGCGCCGTGTCTGCTGCTTCCACTGTGATGCTGGGCATCTGCTTTGCTTCTGATTCACGCCAACGCTCCTCATAGTGATCCATTTCGTCGATGCGTGGACTGCGACGCAAGCCAGGTGAGCTTTGCCTTGAATGCCCCTCCGTTGTGTTGGAGGTTTGCAACTTTAAATGCGAAAGGATTTGGCATATGGAAAGCAAATGAAAAGCATTTAAAGCGTTAGCGAGAAAAGCACAAGCATGAAGCGGTGGGTGAAAGCAATGAGATGACTGCCTAAGCACTTACATTTGATTTGTTTTCCGCAGCCTGTGGTGCCTGCACGCTATCGCCTTCCTGTTTTAAGATCAAGCGCTTGCATGAGTGTATTTTTGTCGTAGTTAGAAATCCACCACTTACCTCCTTCTCTTTGGTTAGCTGCTCTTTTAGAGCCGATGCCGCTTGCGCATTTTGTGCCTCTGTGGCTTCCTCAAACGACGAAACCTTTGGTACATTGTTGGCAGTTGCTTCTTCCTCGACAACCTCTTCACCAGAGGCACGTTTCTCCAACTCCAGCTCTTCTTCATCTATCGACAGTGCCTTTTCACGTTTCCAGAACTCAGTATCTTTATAGTGCTCCGGCACTACCTCACCCCAGGGATTTGTGCTCTCTTCACCCAGCATTTCCAGTGAGCTGGAATCGGCACTGGGAGATTTTATATCTTTCGCAGGACTGCGCTTGTGGCGTCTGTGGTGAGACTTGACACGCAGCGTGGGCTCGCTGCCGTACTTTATGGGATTGTAATCGTCTTTGTCGCCTTTACGCAGCTCCTCTTCCTCCAGTGACGTAAACATTTTCAGCTCTTCTTCGCGTGAAGCCCGTGAGTCACGAGAGGAATTGGAACTGCCGCTTGAACGTCGCTTCTTGAAGGCCCGTCGACGTCCCGAACCATCTTCTCTCACCAATGGTCGGTTTTTTATGCCGTCCAGTGAACGCAGATAATCTTCGGTGTATTGCATATCGGGCACATTGTCCTCACCATCCGGCTCCTGACGCTCTGTCTCCAAATGCGCACGAAGCGCTTCTGCGGTTAGTTCCTCAGACGGCTGTGTGCTAAACGATGATTGCTGACTTGAATTCGGTTCAACGGATGAGCCTTCATCGGACACACCAGGAAAAATGAGAGTTTTAGTTGCGTAGGGTTCCTCGCCGCTGCTGCTTTGACCGAATTGTGTTTTTACCTTTTGCACGACCAGCGGCTCATCTGCCAGTGTTTCTTCAAACTTGGGCGGAACAATTCGCTTAATGCACGGCTCTTCTACGACCGGCGTCTGCCCGGAATATTCCGAATCCTGGATGGACTCTAGCATACGTTGTTGCAATACAACCATTTCCTCTTCAGCCTCCAGGAACTTACGTGCATTTTCCTCAATTAGCTTTTGTTTTTGTTCCAGTTGTGTTTTCGTGGCCAATAGACGGCGTGCCTGCTGTGCCATCAATTCTTCTTCTTCCAACTCGCTTTCGGTGGCGCTGAGCTTGCGCTCGCGTTCGGCCGCTAACAATCTTTCAACAATTTCGGCATCTCGAAGCTCCTGATCCTTTTCCAAATCTGCCTGATTCTGTTGTCGCAGGTGCTCGGCTTCGAATAGTTTCCGTTCCTGCTCAGCATTCTCGGCTTCGGCGAGTTCTCTTTGGCGTTCGGCTTCCTGTCGCTCGTGCTCAGCTGCCAATAGTTTTCTTTCATTCTCCTCGCGCTCTCTTTGCTCGGCTTCTCTCAATTTCTGTTCAATTTCCTCACGTTGTTGCTGCTCTGCTTCTTTAAGTTTTCTTTCGTTTTCTTCTCTTTCTTGTCTCTCGATTTCCTCTCGTTGTCGCTGTTCAGCCTCGCGTCGCTGCTCCGCCTCTATCAGTTTTCTAGCATTTTCGGCGGCTTCTGCTTCTTCGGCAGCCTTTCTCTGTTGCTCGGCGATTTTGCGTTCCTCCGCCAATCTAGCCTCAGCCTCTGCCAGCTGTTTGCGTGTCTCCTTCTCGATGCGTCGCTGTCGCTCTAGTTCCTCTTCGAGGGCCTCACGTTTCTCCGACGACATTGGATTCATTTGCGATGGATCGACACGAAATCCATTGCTGTAGGCCACACCATCCTGCATCACCTGTGTACCCGCCGCCTGCTCCCGTGCCGTTGCAGTGTCCAACTCATCATTAAGGCGCTCACGTAAGCGCGGCAGCTCCTGAGAATCGGCTGCTGCATCGAGAGCCGCCGCTGCACTGTTATGTTGAAAGGTCCAGTGATAGAGCTGCCGTGCCACAAACACAAATTCCAGCGCTCCAAAATAGCCAACCACTAGCGAGAAGACCAGCTCGCCGATGCCGGCAAGCGCCTCGTCCGCAGCCATGTGTTTGCGTAATCCGTAGTTGTTGGTCCCAAATGCAAATCCTCTAAACGCAACCGTTCGCCAGCAATGCAGGGGCCGTATGAGGCGAAATTCGCACTCTTCGCAATGCGATATTATATAAAAACAAGTTCACACAAACACACGCGCATATGCACTAAAGACGGCTGCGGCGACGACGACGCACATTAATGGCCAACTGATTAGGTAATTGAATTAATTTTTTTTCACACGAAATTCTTGTGCGCAAATTTATGGCCGCTGCTGTGGCTGCTCGGTGCTTATTGAAAATATCTCAATAATTTTGTTGTTGAAAATTTGTACAATTTTTTTCACACGTGCCGCAAATGTTGAAGAATGGAGATGAATTGGCAGCTGCTGTTCCAGCATTCGTTGCAATCGGCAACGCGCTCGCGCTCAGCTCGTTGTTGCCAGTTAATCGATCGTCTTGCAACTGATTGATGCGCTAAGGGCTTAGCCGTGTTGTCGTCGTCGTTGGCGTGGTCGTCGTTTTCATCGGCGTGATTCAGAGCAGAGAGACAAAAAACAAATTGGCTAAAAAACAAAAAAGCCAAAGGCGCTAATTGATGGCAAGAACAACTAATACGAGCAACGAACTGCCAAGGTACGAATAGTATTTTAGCGTGCGCGTTTTGGCAACAACAACAGAAGCGGCGGCAACAGCAACGATGCCTACGATGTCTTCCTTTGCACTGGCCGATTGCTAATGGGCGACGCTATGTCAAATGCCAAAGAAATCAGCTAAAGACAACGCGAAAGGCAAACGGTTGGTCAGCGGCGTCATCAGCTTTTATTTTGTGCTTGATTTTCTAATCACAGCAACAACAGCGCAAAACGGAAAACTAATTTTCTTTTCGCATGGCTAAAATGAATTTGCAGTGGCCATTGGGTCTGCCGGTCAGCAGCTTGCAGCTCTCATCACAATTTTCTCGCCTCTATGGCCGCTCACATGCCAAAAGAGACAGAGAAGAGACCTTCAACGCAGTCACGACGCATGTTAAATCGCAATTTTCAATGCCAAACAGCTGAGCCGTCCCGTGGGCCGCGAGAGCACATAATATGCATAAACACATACACATACAAGTAGCATATACATATATATGTATATATATAGTGTGTGTGTTTATAAATTATGCCATTTGGTCAATTTATGCGAAAGAACATGACACTGACAACAACATTGAACATTCAACATTCGGCATCGAACATTGCGTTTGCTCCACTTGGCGTATACGCAACGTGGCTCGATGTTAAAAATATTCCATTTTAATTATAATCACATCAAATGAGTTTCTCTGGCAAATTTATATGAGTATGTTTGCATTATTGCTAAGTTTTTGTTTCTGTTTATTTACGCGAATGTGTCGAAAATAAAATGTGATTTGTTAGAATTTTATTTTCTGATTATTTGTGTTTGTCCGCCACCGCCTTTTGGGTTTTGGTTGAAAGCGAAAGTATGGGTGTGTGAAGGAAAAGAAAATCAAGCAAGAACTGGTAGAAAAAAAAAACAGGGTGCGGACAAACACCTCACTCAGAGAGCTTTCTGATTTTGGAAATAAAAGCAGATATTTATTGGGAACGTGTTGACTGAAGAAAATCCCTCAAGTAGAAAGAGAACTCTTTGGGTCAGTTTTAGTTGGTAGTTAGAAAATAATGATCTTTTAAGGCACACATGTTATAAGGCAGGAAGATTACAAATTCAACATTAACTGAAGAAAATCTCTAAGGTAGAAAGAGAACTCTTTGGGTCAGTTTTAGTTGGTAGTTAGAAAATAATGATCTTTTAAGGCACAAATGTTATAAGGCAGGAAGATTACAAATTCAACATTAACTGAAGAAAATATCTAAGGTAGAAAGAGAACTCTTTGGGTCAGTATTAGTTGGTAGTTAGAAAATAATGATCTTTTAAGGCACAAATGTTATAAGAGGCAGCAGCATTATAAATACAATTAAGGCAAATAAAGACGAACAAAATGAAAGTTCTATGCTTTCAAGTTAAAGAAAGTGAATCAAAAAGTTCGCCACAAATTAGAGCCAAAGTAGGGGAATATTTAATGCATTATTTCAAGAATTCTCCGCAACAGTTATGCCATATATAGATTTATTTTGAATGGGCCCTGAAAGCATTCACAACAATTGTCGAGTGCTTTCAAATATTTACTTATCTAATTCGGGAAGGCTCTACTACTTGTATATTAACTTGTTTTAAAGTGTACTCTTTCTCTCTCCAAGATTGGAAAATACAAGTAAGCACTTTCCATGCATAAGTTGCTCGCATGAGACACATATTCCAATTCACCATATATAGTCAATCGAACTTTTACGCCTTTGCGAGAGAATAGAATAAATATTAAAATTTTAAAAATATTTCAAATTTCCCAGGGATTGCATTCCGATCATTTTGCAGCTCATGTCCACGATCAATTCGTGAGCAAATGAGCAGGCGAGCAACCCATGCCCATGAGTAAAATGTGAGCGCTGAGCTGTGAGCAATTGTTGATGTTTACACTTTCTGAGCAATGACGTCATGCGTCAGTTCGATCCATGACTTGAGATGATTAACATCTTAATTGATATCAGTTACTTCGCATGCATTCAGTGCTTTTACTAAACCGAAAATGTTACTTAACTAGGAAATTTACTAAGTTGGAAATATTACAGGTTGATAAATGATTAAATGAAAATAGTACTTTAATACTTTATTGTTCACTTTTCTAATCACTATATTTGGTTGAAGACATAAAATTTTAAATTTATGATTGATTTTGCGCTATTTTTTTTTTGTCGAAGCCGGCAATATTAAGCTTATTATTGATATACATAGATATTGGAAATGCTGGCTTCTAAAATGTTTTTTAACATTCAATTGTTTATGTTGTTGTTTCTCCTGCCGCAATGCATTTTCATAATTTGTAATAAGTTTTGTATATATCTGCGATTTCATAATTTACTATTAATTATACTTTCGTTTCTTAAATTGTTTTAGTCCGCCAGTCTGCTAATACAGTTGGCGGTAAGAAATGCGGAAAAAAGTAAGCAAACTATTTTAAAAAAGTTAATGTTGAGTTAAGTTTGAAGTTTTTGATTATTGTCTGTGCATTTTTTTTAATTCGCTGACATTCTCTTACGAATAAATTTGTAATTTAAATTTTCAGCGAGAAAAGCAAAACTATTTTCCTGCTTCCAAGAGGGTATTGAACTTCAGTTTGTTTAAAACAAAAACTTACGTGGCTCTTAATTGCTTGTGCCTTTGTTGTGGCTAGAACTCACATATGTCTAGAGGAAAATGGAAGCTCCAGATGCGTGCGAACGCTTGGAGAACGCGTCAACAACAAAGCTGCCAATGAACTGTTACTCGATTGGCTGCGGCAGCGTGCAACGTGGCACAGTTTTTGCTTTTAATGACAATTTGTGGCAAATGAAGTTCAATGAAAATGGAAAAGTCAACCTTCAATATGGGGGCATAATCCAAAAGCCGGGCCACACCCCGGCAATAAAATGTGACTGCGTGAGGCAAACAATAAAAGCGTACTACGTGAAAACTACACTCACTCGCGCACATCCCTCACCCACACACACACGCCCTCACACACACACACACACACACACACACTTATATACAGCACGCATAGGATGGCAAAAGTGAAAACTGAAAATGTAACTTTGCCGGCAATGCGCCTGAAAGTGTGCAACGAGGCTAGCAATTTTCAATTAGCACGCGCAGCTGCGGGACGACAGTAATCGACACACTTAATGGCCCCATCCAATGGCCAACATGTGGCAGTTGGCAGTTGAAAGTCGCCACTCAAGCCGGCCAATTTGGTGATTGAAGACGTGAAGGCAGAGCACTAAGTGTAAGTGGAACTCACCTCATCACAGCCAGCACAGCGTGGTTTTAACATTTCCGCATAATGGCGCTCGCAGTAGATTTTATCCTCGTGCACACAATACGTCAAGTCGACGAGTAGCTCGTGGCAGGTGCTGCAGCTGAAACACTTTGGATGCCACATAACGCTCTCCACAAACTTGGGAGCGGCCACAACCATGTCGCCAGTGCCTATTTCCTGATCACAGTGCGCACAGTGTTCATCGTAGGGCGCGTCCTTGATATAGGCTGTCAAATAAAAATGTTCCAGATGGTAAGTACAAATACAAGTCAAGAAAATAAACTCTATGCTATTCCAAATTACTTATTACATAGCGTTTGGTTGACTATCAGGCGTGAGGCTCTAGACAAAATAAAAGGGCCCTGCATTACGATCTCAAATGTAAGAATATGTAAGAATACAGATAAAATTGAAAGAAAAAAGAGATACAAAATAAGTTATAGTGATGTAATTTGTAAAGTATATTATTTTGTAACTAATTGCGAATATCAGATTCAATTTTAATATTAAATATATTTTTTTTGTACAGATGTTTGTGAGTTGTTTCATATATTATGTATTGGCGAGCGTTTGAAAAGAAACTAATTTTTAAATGGCAGTTAATAGTTTTCTTGGACTAAAATTTTATTTGCCTAAAACAAGTCAAGTATGACCTAAACTTTTGTTAGATTAGATTATTTTATGAAAAACTACTTTTATTCCAATCCACACTAATGCCGAAATGACGTTCTATTATTATTGTTTTATTGTATTTATTGTGAGTTGCAGAAATTAATACCATTGTTCGTTTATAAGTACATACTTCAGAAATAAATAAATATATACCACTTTCCTACAAATCTTTTTTTCAATGCTTAAAGATGAATAATAGACCGGATTGTTCAGTATTCCAAGCAGTCAAGAATATTATATCTGTATCCATATAATATTCTTCCTCGCCATTTGAATACACGCTCTTTGCAACTCTTTGCATAACTTGAAAAGGGACTGATTAAATAACGTTAAAAATTCCTCACTGATCTGCTCACATTCTGCTCATGAGTCTGATCACAAAAATGTGGAGAATGTGAACCCTGATTTTCGCGCGTTAGTTTTTTGCAACTCTTCCTTTCTCTCTCTTTGTGACAAATTGCTAGTTCTAGAAAATAACGTGTTCTGAGCAGAACAAATAATTTGTATACACAGTAAATTTGAAGGCCTTTTGGCTTTTGTTTGTTTCGGTTTCGCTTGCGCTTATTAAGTTTTGTTATTATGCATATTATCTCTCTTTAAGATCAATGCGCTCTTGCTCTCACTTTGCAGAGAGAGCTTTGTTATGCAGACGAGCTTTCTAATGCTGCAGCCGCTAAACGGCCTCTGTAAATTTATTCTCACTTCATTTCCAGAAGTACTGCAATAATACTTGTATAGCTTGCATTTAGTTTGATTGTTAATTTTTTGTTGCTAATTTTTGCGGAGTTTTTTTTAAAAAAGCTGAGCTGATTTTAGGCTTAACTTAGACCTTGAGTTTTTATAAAAAACCTACCTATGTCCAGCGCAATTTCGTTGCGTGCAGTTACAAAATCCTCATACGATGCCTCATACTGCACCTCCAGGTGCTTGCAGTGCTCCAGGGATAGATCCTGTTTGGGCAATTGATATGAGATCTGCTGTTCACGAAATCGTGCCCCCTCGCTGCCAATGCGGGGCACCTTGTCCAGTGGCAGTTGGTCGAAGTATCGACTGATGAGCGATGAAACGCGCGCCCCAGACGGGACCCAAGTGTAGCCCAGATCGCGGGGATCCACACTTGC